AATAGATCGAATTTCCAAAACCTCCTTCTTAGCCATCGGTTCACCCACAATTCAAATTGTACCAAATTTAGTACACATTAGTACCAATTTCCAAATCTTCCTACATACTCCAATCCTACACCTCCACAGTGATCCTGAATCAAAATTTCAGGATTCAAACTTTATCGCTTCACCCACAATTTAAATTGTACCAAATTTAGTACACATTAGTACAAATTTCTAAAACTTCCTACATATCTCAATCTTACACCTCAACAGTGATCCTGACTCCAAATTTCATGATTCTAGCTCTATTGGTTCACCTAAAATTCAAATTGTACCAAATTTAGTACCATTTAGTACCCATAAGTATTATTTTCTTAAACTGAATCCTGACCCTAATCCTACATCCCTACAATGATCCTAACTCCAAACTTCATTGTTCCAGCTCTATCGCTTCACCCAAATCCAAATTGTACCAATTATAGCAAGATTTAGTACTTTTTGTACACATAAGTAAAAACTTCCAACTACGTACATATCCCAATCCTACACTCCGACGGTAATGATAATTTCAATTTTCGATTTGTACCTCCAAATCAAATTTGTACCAAATATAGTACCATATAGTACATTTCGTACACGTGAGTAGACGCTTTCCAAACTCTCCTCATATCGACCCTACTTCTCAACGTTATTTTACATTCCAAATTTCAAGTTTTTAGCTCAATCCATTCACATGCTACGAAATTGTACCAAATTTAGTACATTTTCGTACTTTTCGGATAGTTATAGTTCGAATTTCCAAAAACCCTTTAGTACATCTATCCTACAGTCAATCAACGACCACTAATCCAAATTTCTAGTTCTAGCTCCACCGGTTCGCCAAATACAAATGGTATCACATTTAGTACTTTTCGTACCGTTCTAGTACGAATTTCCAAAAACCCAGCCTTATCTGTCACATTTGGGCCAAGAGTGACCCTCACCCCAAATTTCAAGATTCTAGCTTCAGCCGTTTCGTCTGGGCGTTGATGAATCGTTAAATCAGTCAGTCAATCACTTTACTCTTTTATTAGTATAGATATATCTAAAAAAAAACTTTGGAGATATTTGACATTACCAAAATGTGTACATTTTGTTGTAACATTAATTTTATCTTTATTACATATATAATTTTTATCATATAGTATATGTCTGTTACTTCGTTAGCGAATGTGGGAAAAATTTAAACATGTATTAACCTATTATGCTATTTTCACATAATACTGCATATGTCAGAAAAATTAATCAATATGCACATTAATATCGACCATAAAGTACCAAATTTCATGATTCGACCTCTAAAGGTTCACCTAAATCCGAATTTTACCAAATTTAGTTACATTTAGTTTAGTTGCACACATTAATATAAATGTCCATACGTACATACCTCAACCATCCAACAGAAATCGTATAACCGTTTCATTTTCATTGCTTTCCATTGCTATATACTTCATATAATCCAATGAAATGCTTATTTCCCCAATTTCAGGATTGAAGACTTATCGTTTCAAACAAATCCAAATAGTATCAAATTGTGTACATAGTAGTACGAATTTCCAAAACTTCCTACTTAACCTAAACATACACTCCCACAGTGACCTAAATCCAAGATTCAGGATTCCAACTCCATAGGTTCACCCACAATTCAAAATGTACCAAATTTAGTGCACAGTAGTTTGAATTTCCAAAACTTCCTACTTAACCCAAATTCCAAAACATCCTACATATCCCAATCCTACACCCCCACAGTATTCCTAAATTTAAATTTCCGGATTCCAACTCTATCGCTTCATCCACAACTTAAATTGTACCAAATTTGGTATACATTAGTACAAATCTCTAAAATTTCCTACATTTCTCAATCTTACACCTTATTGATCCTGACTCAAAATTTCATGATTCTACCTCTATTGGTTCACCTAAAATTCAAATTGTACTAAATTTAGTACCATTTAGTACGAATTTCAAAAACTTCCAACTTAACCCAAACCAAAATCTAAATTTCAGGATTCCAACTCTATCGCTTCAGCCACAACATAAATTGTACAAAATTTAGTACACATTAGCACAAATTTATGCATATCTCAATCTTACACCTCAACAATGATCCTGACTCCAAATTTCTGATTCTAGCTCCATTGGCCCACCTAAAATTCAAATTGTACAAAATTTAGTACCATTTAGTTCGAATTTCAAAAACTTCCAACTTAACCCAAAGCAACACCCCCACAGTGCTCCAAAATCTAAATTTCAGGATTCGAACTCTATCGGTTCACCCATAATTCAAATTGTACCAAATTTAGTACACAGTTGTACGAATTTCCAAAACTTCGTACTTAACTCAAACCAACACCCCCACAGTGATCCTAAATCCAAGTTTGAGGATTCCAATTCCATTGGTTCACCCACAATTTAAATTGTACCAAATTTAGTACACATTAGTACAAAATTTTAAAACTTCCTACATTTCTCAATCTTACACCCCCACAGTGATCCTAAATCTAAGTTTCAGGATTCCAATTCCATCGGTTCACCCACAATTTAAATTGTACCAAATTTAGTACAAATTAGTACAAATTTTTAAAACTTCCTACATATCTCAATCTTACACCTCAACAATGATCCTGACTCCAAATTTCATGATTCTAGCTCTATTGGTTCACCCAAAATTCAAATTGTACCAAATTTAGTACCATTTAGTACGAATATCAAAAACTTCCAACTGAACCCAAACCAACACCCCCACAGTGCTCCAAAATCTAAATTTCAGGATTCCAACTGTATCGGTTCAACCACAATTCAAATTGTACCAAATTTAGTACACATAAGTACAACATTTTAAAACTTTCTGCATATCTCAATCTTACACCTCGACAGTGATCCTGACTCCAAATTTTATGATTCTAGCTCAATTGGTTCACCTAAAAATCAAATTGCACCAAATTTAGTACCATTTAGTACCCATAAGTAATAATGTCTTAAACTGAGTCCTGACCCCAATCCTACACCCCTAAAATGATCCTAACTCCAAATGTCATTGTTTCAGCTCTATCGGTTCACCCAAATCCAAATTGTACCAATTATAGTACGATTTAGTACTTTTCGTACACATAAGTAACAAATTTCCAAAACTACGTACATATCACAATCCTATACTCCGACGGTAATGTTACTTTCAATTTTCAGGATTCTAGCTCCATTTGTACCTCCAAATCAAATTTGTACTAAATATAGTACCATATAGTACTTTTCGTACACATGAGTACACGGTTTCAAAACCATCTCCTTATATCGACCCTACTTCCCAACCCTAATTCGCATTCCAAATTTCAAGTTTTTAGCTCTATCCGTTCTCATGCTACAGAATTGTACCAAATTTAGTACATTTTCGTACATTTCGGATAGTTGTAGTTCGAATTTCCAAAAACCCTTTTGTACATCTATCCTACACTCCACCAGTGACCCTCAATCCAAATTTCAGAGTTCTAGCTCTACTGGTTCGCCAAATACAAATGATATCATATTTAGTACTTTTCGTACCCTTCTAGTACGAATTTCCAAAAACCCAGCCTTATCTGTCACATTTGGGCCAAGAGTGACCCTCACCCAAAATTTCAAGATTCTAGCTTCAGCCGTTTCGTCTGGGCGTTGATGAATCGTTAAATCAGTCAGTCAGTCAATCACTTTACTCTTTTATTAGTATATATTCAATTTGAATATTTATATTAATTTATAACAACCGTATTCAATTTTCAATTTATAAAAAAAGAATAAGAACATTACCATGAAAATTACAAAATCGGGCCCTACTGCACCGTTATGTTCTTTATAATCACATTTTCTCAAACTTTACACAGGTTTTCCTATATTTATTTAGATTGTATGCCCAAAATGCAATTGTGAAGCATTTGTAAAATTTCGTGTCAGTTGAAATTATATATGAAAACTATATCCCAATCCGATCAATCGTTTTGTCATTTACATATATTGGTCTGTTCCCGATATAAAGTTCTGTTATATGTTTCCATACTCAAAAAGTTGTTAAACTTTCTAAATTTATCAATACAAATACAATTTCGATCAGAGCTAACATTTTATTGAAATATTTAAAAACAGTTCAAAATGTATTTTAAGTCAAGAACAGCTCTCTGCTTTCCAACGAGATTATTTACATCATCAGCTGCTAAAAATAAATTAAATATTAAAAATCAATCTCAAACTAAATCCATTGTTGATTTACCTCAATTTGATCCCAATTTTGAGATGAAAAATGAGCCAATTTTAAAATACAATTCCGGTTCCGAAGAACTAAATAAACTGCAAGAAGCCCTTAAAACATACCAATCCCAAATTGCAGAAATACCCATAATTATTGGTGGCAAAGAATTCTCGAGCAAAATCGAACGTTTTCAAATAATACCTCATCGTCATCATCAGTGTGTAGCCAAATATTATGAAGCTGATGAAAATCTAATAAATAAAGCCATACGTTCAGCGGTGGAAGCTAAAATTAAATGGTCCAAAACAGATGTAACGACTCGCATAGATATTTGGTTAAAAGCAGCCGAATTAATGTCCAACAAATACAAAGCCCAATTAGTGGCAGCCACAATGTTGGGTCAATCGAAAACTTTACAGCAAGCTGAAATTGATGCCGGCGTTGAATTGATTGATTTCATGCGGATAAATGCTGGCTTCCTGAATGACCTCTGCAAATATCAACCATTCAGTGGAAATCCAAATGTTTCTAAAAATCACATGTTATGGAGGCCTCTAGATGGTTTTGTTGCCGCCATAAGTCCGTTTAATTTTACAGCCATTGGTGGCAATTTGGCTTATACCCCTGCTTTAATAGGCAACACGGTATTGTGGAAGCCACCCCCTTCTGCTATGCTTTCAAGTTGGCTGATTTCTAAAATCATGCAAGAAGCTGGTCTTCCAGATGGCGTAGTTAACTTCATACCAGCCAATGGCCCTGTTTTTGGTAATACCATTACATATTCTTCGAATTTGGGTGGTATAAATTTCACTGGATCCTTGTCAACGTTTCGAAAACTCTGGAAATTGGTCTCAAAACATTTGGAATTTTACAAAAGTTTTCCCCGTCTTAGCGGTGAATGTGGTGGTAAAAATTATCACTTCGTACATGCATCTGCCGATGTTGCAACTGTGGTTGCCTGTACCATACGCAGTGCCTTTGAGTACAGTGGCCAAAAGTGTTCAGCCTGTTCAAGACTTTATGTTCCCCAATCTTTGTGGGAAAGTGAAATCAAAGACCAACTTTGTACACAAACGGGATATTTATTAATGGGAGATGTTTGTGATGTGGAAACATTTCTCGGAGCAGTAATCGATGATCAGGCTTTTCTACGCATTGCAAAATATTTGGATATGGCCAAAACAAATCCACAATGTGATGTTTTAATTGGTGGACGTTGTACAAATTTACGGGGTTATTTTGTGGAACCCACAATTGTTGTGTGCCGTGATCCCTATGATATTTTATTTAAGGAAGAAATTTTTGGCCCCCTATTGACGGTGTATGTTTATAAGGAGAGTGAACTTATGAATACTTTAGATTTGGTTGGTACTACAACAAAATATGCTTTAACAGGTTCTATATTTGCCAAAGATGAGGAGTTTCTTAAAGAGGCTTTGAATAGACTCCAAACGACAGCTGGTAATTTATATATCAATGATAAGTCAAGTGGTGCTGTGGTCGGTCAACAACCTTTTGGTGGTAGTCGTCTATCGGGAACTAACGATAAACCGGGTAGTCCATATTTTTTAATGCGTTGGTCTTCACCGCTGACAATAAAAGAAACATTTGAGCCACAATCGAAAATTTATTATTCTTATATGAGAATTGGGGAGAATTGTGATAATTAATAAATTGTTTTTCAATTAATATTTTCTGTCTTATAAATTAATGATTTTTTTTTTCTTGCATCGGCGAGGTAGTTTAGTAATGTTCTACCCAGAGCATGAAGTCAAGTTTGTATTAGCGCTGTTACAGAGGTAATATTCATCTATTCCGCATTCTCTTTATTTTGGCAGCTTTATTTTGACAATCCGTATTAATTACGATTTAAGAGGCAAAATAAATTAGTAAATAAATGTCAATGGGGTCAGATGTGGAATTCTTATACATATACAAATATCGCTCATTATAATATTCGAATATGTACTTTTTTCCTTTTTTCTATAATTTATTTGAGGCCATTTGTTCAAGTGTAAAATGTTAAACATTTCAAATATACTTTTTTTTACAATAAAATTAATAATAACACAAAAATGAATAACAACACCATATTTTTAATGATTTTTTACCTATATCTCTTGCAAATGACGCTAGCTGATTTACAGGAAACACTGCAGAATAATCCGGGTTTGTATATATTAAATTTCATTAATAAAAAAACTAAATCTGTAATCGCTTACAGAGAAGTCACATCAAATACAAAATTTATATGATGAATTTAAAAAACGTTTAAGGCCACTAAACAATATTATTCGAAATGATGAAAATCCTTTAGAGGGTATCAATAAACGTTCAAATAGCGTTGGCAGTAACAGTTTATATGACATTTTTAAGAAACGTTTGTCATGTTTAACGGATCAATCCGATCATCAATATTTCGATGTGGCAAATGATGATTATCAAGATTCGGAAATGATAATGAAGAATGATGATGGAAAAAGATGTGATCATTGTTATAGAAAATATTTGCAAAATAATAACAATAGACATATAGGAAATTTTTCTAATGAATATTAAATAAAATATGTCTATGTTTGATTACTTTCTTGGAGGGGATTATGGTTGTGCAATGGTGGGTGGTTAGAAAATGTAGGAAAACCTGAACATAATAAAACTATTAGATGTCCAAACAATTGTATTAATGCTGCTCCTTTGGCGCCAAATCGTCCAAAATCATATATGTATGGAAGCTATATCAATATCTGACCCAAACTTATCACGCGTAGTATGTGGAAAATGTCGTGTCGATCGGACTGTCGTAGCATCTATATCAATTTACATAAAATCTGAGGGTTTATCATAACAGACGAAAAAATGCATGTGATTTATATCAAAATCTGAAGCGACTCTCAACAATTGCAATATGTATCGTTCATTGGCTAAATAAATACATTTACCAAATATGATTACAATTGTATACGAAAAGCAAAGTGAACTTTTATTACCAAAAATATTGACATTGGGCGGACAGGGAATTTTAGGTATATATCAGGGATGCACGCCCTTGCACTCTAGCGGTCAGCTCAACTCACACGGATTTTTACGCTCATTTGTTTAGTCGTTGTTGAGACTTCAACAAATAAACATGTCTGTGCTGATGTGCATCATATTGCGGCCCACACACATCAAACATGTACGTTTGATCGGTGTGAAGCTGATGGGCCACAAATGAATCAACAAAGATTTATTTCGAATTTGGTTTTTAAAGAATGAAGAAGGTCAGCGATAGTGACGACGCAAAAAATACCGATCAATTTTATTTACTTTATTTTTTTTATTTATTTCACACCGATGGAAAGCACATGTTTAACGTGTGTGGCCCGCTTTAACTTTGTGTGCTAGTCTCACACATACATTTACAAATTGCCATTCTCTCACCGTGTGAATCACTGGTATATATAATGAAATAGCAACGTCTTTAATTGGCTTTAACAAGACCAGGCTTATATTGGTCCCATCTCATCTTTCATCTCATTTGTGGACACTGACCTCCCGTTGTGCCACCTGGGGTAGCTACTTTCATCACCCGTTTAAATAGTGAGCTGATATGTTTTGCGAGTTCACCCATAAGAACTATAAAAATAGGTTGAGGCGTCGAGTGAGTTGCCCACACTCGGGAAACCCCCATTACTATGAGAAAGCAACAAAGAGGGAAAACCAAACCCCCCAATAATTTTCACGGCCCCCCACAATCGTATAAAGGACCACGATCTGCTAATCTGCACTTGGAATGTGCACAGGTTGTACAGAACAAGCGCAGTCTTCGCTTTGGCGGATGTACTCATGAAGTACACTTACAGGCATAAGTAAATCAGATGATAACGCACTGTATTATATCATGACAGCTATAATACAGTGCGTTATCATCTGAGAAACGAATTTTCGAAAGAAAGTACAAGAAAAACGTGAGCCTGAACAAATCGAGATGTATAGAAAGAAGTCAGAATGAATACCGAAAATTTTACCAACAACGATAAAAACACCAAACCGAAGGATTTTGTGCCTCCTGTAGAGATGAAGAAGGAAACCTGGTAACAGGTATTGGAAAGCTTCTGGTATCTACTAGTAACGGTGAAGAAGATATCCCAAAACCAATAAGAGATTACGGTACAGATTGTATAGCCAAGATGAGATCAGGATAGCTGAAGAATTATAAAGCAGCAGATGCCGATGGATTACCAGCCGAACTATTTAAGACCGATGACCAGACGTTGATCAGTAGCAGGTCCAACTGATTAGCACAACTTGGGTATAGGAATGCATGTCCATGTACTGTCAGACCCAATTTGGGAGACGGAGTCTGCCAAAGTAAAAGTAAAATTCTCCGAAGATCTACGGGCCGATCTGCGTCGACGGTGAATATCGGCGTTGAATGAACCACGAACTTTACAATTTATACGCGGACATCGACATAATCGTATTGTGCTGCAGCGACTACGGTGACTAGGCCATGTTGTGCGAATGAATGTGAATGCCCCAGCTCAAAAGGCATATAAAAGCGTGCCTACTGATGGTTCCCGTAGAAGGGGAAGGCCACGTATTAGAAGGAAAGACCAAGTAGAACGTGGTCTTTCAAATTGGAGGAGATGCTCGGCTTATAGAACAACCGTTCTGTAACAAGCCAGCTAAGTAGGTAAGCATACACATTTTACGATAATTGTTCGTTCGACTCAAAATGAGGCTTAATTCCGGATCTATGAAAATTCGAAATTAGAAGAATTCAGATTCTGCTATTAATAGTGTAAAAACGACAGGTGTTCATCGAATTCTATGATACTTTCAGTCCTGCTAAAGTAATTTTTTTTTTGTCAAAAAATCCTAACCCTAGTGTACATACAGTCAGCCCAAGGCCTGAGTCAGCCTAAATATTTGTCATTTATTAAAATACCAAAAGTAAAAACAAATGTGAAATGTTTTTATATGGAGAACATCGAAATCTTTTAATAAGGACCCTGGTGTATATCTTTATATGCCTGCAAACAGTTAAGGAAAGTACATCAATATCATATGAAAAGAATCCAAAAGACAAGGCGATTAATAAATGGCCCATAATGGAAGGTACAAATGGTGATTTATATGATATATTCAACGAACGTTTAAAGCAAATAGAATTAGAACTGAGTCATCGCGAGTTTACTAACGATGATGACTTTCAAAAGACTATAGCAGAGAGGAAGCTCAGTGCACGGCAGGCTGATAGAAGACATTTGTCCTATAAAAATGAATTTTTAGATAATATGAAATACGAACAAAGTTCCAATAAGAATCGTAGAAGTCTAAACCATAGACGGCATCAGGATAATATATCCCATCAGAATATATCAAAACCACTATATCCTTCGGTACTAACAAAAGCTCTGGAAATCAGTTTAAATCCGAGTGCCGAAATCGAAAATAATGACAATGGCAATGTATTGGAAAACATTGCCCATAAAATGAATACTAGTGTAATGGATTTGGCAACAATTTTAACTCAACCCATGAATTTCAATGGTTCGACTTTGGAAGAATCACAAGATTTAAAGAGAATCATACAAAATTATATATCCGGAAATGGTAAGCGTAGCAATTTTTTATATGTATCTTGTAATGGTTTTTTTTTTTCATTTCAGCATCACCTAATAATTCCCAATACACACCATCAACATTTAAAGAATCCGTGGAGGTTGAAAATAATGTAGCGGATATATCAACATCTGAAATAAGAAATGTATTAAATCGAATCATAGATATATTGGAGCAATTACAACTGTCAAAAAATCAAAACAATAACGAACAGAGTCATGTAAATGGTACAAATAGCTACTAAACTGTTTGTATAATCAAGATCTATTAAAACTGTGCCATTGCCATTTTCCTAACATTGCATTTTATCTACAGGGACACCATGTAATATCAGTGGTACCTGGTTTTCAAGTACCATGGGTTTATGTTTTGATATTCAAGTCACAAACAACACTCCCTTAAATAAAAATGTATCTATAGAAATTCAAGATTGTATACCACCTAAGCAGCACAGCATAATGGATTTAGAATGGAAAATTGAGGGAAGAACTAATAAAGAAATGGGTGGACCTATTTATATATATGCACAAAAAGCCGAAGAACATTTAACTGGCACATTTCTTGGTATGGAACAGAAGAGTAATTCCAAAATTGTCACTACAACCTCTAAAACAAAATATTTATTAATATAGGTTTCTGCTGGACTTGTGCTGGTTCGGATATACTTTTTGGTTCATGGTCTTTTCTAAAACCGTTTAAAAATTGTCTAGACACTTCAATGGCTTTTGAGGTTAAGCAAGACATATTACGTAGAGATCAAATTAAAATGAAATGTAAAAAGCGTCTTGAACATATGAAAGATGCTGGAGATAATAGTAATTAGTTAAAAAAATAAAAATTTTAAGAAATAACAAAATTTATACATACAAATAAAATTTAACGAATTGTTAACTTAGGGTTTACACACGCAACTTTTGTAAGCAACTCTGCTGTGTTCTTAGAAGTGAGAGGTATAAAAAGTGACAAGGGGGAAGAAATTCAAAAGAGAAACGAAGAGAGCAGCAGCAGAGTTTCTTAAAAAAGTTGCATGTATATACCCAGGCTAAGTTAAATAAAAATATGTAATAAACAAATTTATAACACTTATACTAATCTGACAATTAAGTATCTCCTGTAATAGTTGAAAGTTTGTTGACTTCTTTGAAAATGCTAGGTTTTTTATTTGTCGTTTGCATGTGCCATGTTCAGTCGAAATCGTTTATAACGATATATCGGTTACATATGTAAGACCCATAGAAGGCAACAGGGAATTTCCTCAAATGGGTGCTAATATCTACGGAGCTCTTTCGTAGCATGCCCTCCTAATGAAATTAATATAATAATGAATGTTATTATACTTACAAGGCTTCTTTGGACAGACTAGATTGGAGTAGGAAATATAGTAGATATTTCATATGCGATGGATATATAAATATCTTTTCAGGGACCCTATGTTCCTACTGTTTTCCACATAGACATGGGATATGCGACCTCAAAATTCTAAATACAGCATTTTTCGGTTAATTGACCCTACGGTTAATTGGTTTCCCCGCTTAATTGAACCACATGATGGGTCAACAAAATATTGTATACGAAAACACATGTAAATTTCCTCGGATAGTTAATCCCTTTGGTTCAAAATCCATGTCATCAAAAAAAAAAATCCTCTTATTTTCCACCGGTTAATTTCATTATTATTGATAAATAATCTGGCATTTTTATAGACCCATGATTCCTTTTGAGAATTTGCATGGAATCACTTTCTGAGTCGATTTATTCATGTCCGTCCGTAGGTTTTAGAATGGCATACATATGGATTGATGTTAGTCGGATCACAGATATTTATATATATATATGAGTTCGTTCAATTTCAAGCCAATGTTCCTTCGAAGAGCGACGTCTGTTAGGATACATATGTAGAATACACCATAGTGGTAAAGGGTTCATATAGTCGGCCCAATCAGACTTTATTACTTTCTTTTTTTGTTTTAGCTTCTTTAGATTCCGATCGATTTTATTAATTCCGAAAACTGAAACGAATCTCTTCGCTTAGTTAAAATATGACAACATTGCTATAATCAAAACAAAACCATAAGATTAAAAAACCGAAAAGAGAATCGGTAAAAAATGTTACATTTTAAAGTAATCTTATTTCTTTAAAACCCAGTGAAAAACACAATATTTGTTTAACCCTTTGAGCCCCGAATTTTTTCCCGCAATCTTAGGACAAATTTCTGTTCACAGATTTAATACAACTATCCTAAATAGGATAGGCACAAAATTTGACATCGATATATCCTTGCATTCGGGAGATACAGTACATTCTTTCGGAAAAAAATAAAGTCCAATATCAAGAAAACCAAATGCAAAATCGTCAGAAAGATCATTTTAAATTATCCTCTGTATTCAATTTTACAAGAATCAAAAATAATTCTGAGGGTAGAATTTGTACAATTTGAATACGAAGCGATTTAAATAATTTGGACTGTATACACAAATTAGTACTGTACACAAATTTACACTCTTTTTTTGATTTTTCTTTTGATATGTGTCGTCCATAATTAGGTCTTCACATATGAAATCCAAATAATAAATATCTACTAGCTGCATATAAAATGTAAGCTTTAAAACATTTTGTTGCCTGTGGGCAACATTGGGCCACAAAGGGTTAAAAAATGCCGGGAGTTTCTATTGTATCTGTGATTGAGGCTCAAAGTACTGTTTTAGGAGTACGTGATCTAAATCGTTTTGGCGACGGTGACGGTGAATGACATACTGAGTGGGAAGGCGATAATGTAATATCTAAGCGGCTATTTTCTTTATTTCCTGAGGTTGTTCGTTTTAAGCCCTTTGATGTTGATGGTATCATTTATTGACAAATAACTATTGATAACTAAAATTGACAAGTTCTCAAATAAATGCAATTCCACTTTCAAAATCAAGTGGTCATTCCGAAAAAAAATTTCGTTTTTCGTTTTCTGAAGAAGCTAAATACGGAATTAGTTCCACTTCCGAACGGGATTCATTTCTGTGACATGCCTGACAATTATAATCCAATTAAACAAATCTGAATTTTTACTATTTTTCCGATGTCATAAAATAATATTTAAAATATATTAAATAATAGCATAGAAATCAATTTCATAGCATAGCTGTTTACCAACACTTGCCCCTATACCTTTGTTATCGTTGTCAATACTCGATTATTGGAAAATCGAATTTAACACAAATTTTACCCCTAATATTATCAGCTGATTTTCACATTCCTTTATATATCATTCTAAACATTATTGTCATCATCCTTTACACACATTCGTAAACACAAAAACTTTGTAGCAATTTTGTTTTGTATTCATTTCTCTTATCAGTCATTCTCTTCTATCTTCCCCATTCGTATCAATTGGAACGTTTTTCTAATTAGTTTTCAAATAAAATATTTTTCATGATTATAGAAAAGTGAAACATTTCGGGCTATAAATATGGGTAATCAATTGGTTGGTATAGCACCATCACAAATTTATCCCGTTGAACATTATTTCTCGGGACAATTTGGTGATATTGAATTCGATTCCAAGTAAGTAAAGAAATCGGGGGCTGGAAAAGAAAATACGCCTCCAATTTTGGGAAAAAAAAATAAAACTGATTCATTGTTCTTCTTTCCAGTATGGGTAGTACACGATTTTTTAAAGTGGCCAAGGCAAAATCTGAGGAAGGACTAATTGTGGTCAAGGTATTTGTTATACATGATCCCACCTTGCCATTGGAGGACCATAAGGCTCGTGTGGAATATATTAAGAAGTCGCTGACAAATGCTGTCAATTGTCTACCATTCCAAAGGGTTGAGGTAGGGAAGTGTGGAAGGATTTTGAGTTTCTTTGGAGTACTATTACCTATCAATTTGCATTGCAGATCACCGATAAAGCTGCCTATATAATGCGTGAATATGTTAAACACAGTTTATATGATCGTGTCTCAACCCGACCCTTCCTCACGGTGTTGGAAAAGAAGTGGATAACATTTCAGATATTGTGTGCTCTCAATCAGTGTCACAAACAGAAAATATGTCATGGTGATATTAAATTGGAAAATATTTTGATCACATCATGGAATTGGATATTATTGTCGGATTTTGCTTCGTTTAAGCCAACATATTTACCCGAAGATAATCCTGCCGATTATACATATTTCTTTGATACGAGTCGTAGACGTACATGTTATATAGCACCCGAAAGATTTGTTAAAACTCTATCATCGGATGATATGGATGGTAATGCAGCAATGTTTCCCACCGACTCCATAATACGTTTGGGTCCGCATTATTCGGGAAATACATTGTTGCCGGCAATGGATATATTTTCGGCGGGGTAAGTTTGATCGATCATTAATTCGAATTTCCAAATCAAAAAAAAAAAAAAATAGTTGTTGTTGTTGTAGCAGTTTGTATGAATTGCATGTTTTCTGTTATGTTTCCTCCAGTTCTGTCTCCAGATTCAGAAATGCAGCTACCTCCACTGGCTGTAACCACAGATCTTCCGGAGTGAGGTGAGTAGGTTTGGCTGGGCAATTGAACAAGTGCAGTGTGGTATGAGGGCCTGTACCACATGCTGGGCAGACATCCTGCACCTGGTCATCAATCCGTGCCCAATACGAATTGAGCCGACTGCACCATCCAGAACGTAACTGAGCCAAAACTACTCTGGTTTGTCTAGGCAGCTGACGTTCTTCAGCTGCTATGGGTGGGGGGTGAGCTCCGAGGACGGCATTCACTTTGTAACCGTTCAGCGCTGCGGCTACTGCATCTGTATGAATGCCATTCAGACCTGTTCGATAGGCAACTTGATCTAGAGGCTCCCTTTTGTATCGTTGGACCTCTCTCTCTAGATCATGCAGATCCTTCCTGACACGCCTGGGTGGGGGAGTCCTATCCACCATATGATGGTTGGGATGATCGTCCCTGAAACACCCGAGCAGGTACTGCAACGAAATTGCTATGCTGACGTACGGGAAGGATCTTCGTCTCCTCGTGAAGATGGTCCACTGGTGTCATGAGGAGGCACCCTGTCGCTGTCCTCAGGGCGGCATTCTGACAGGTCTGAATATTTCTCCATTGCGTATCACTAGAATTCGCAGACCACACTGGAACCGCATAGCTAGCCACAGACCGACCTATCGCTTTGTAAGAGGTCAACAAGGTTTCCTTATCTGCGCCCCAAGTGCTGCCGGCAAGCGACTTGAGGACCTTGTTCCTACTTTTCAGCTTATCGCAGATAGCTGTGGTTTGCGCGGACGATTTAAACATGCTGTCGAATGTGACCCCAAGTATTTTGGGGTAGTTGGTGGTCGGAATTGTATGCCCCTCGACCTGCACATTCAACGGCACTCTCATCTCCGCAGTCCATGTGGTGAATAGTGTGGCTGACGACTTCGAGGCGGATATTTTCATATTCCTCGCTTTGAAGAAGGCTGCCAAATCGATGAGATAGGCGTTCAACCTCACACATATGTCTTCAACAATGGGACCCGACGCCATAATCGTACAATCATCTGCATACGTAACGATTTCAATGCCGTCCGGAGGGCGTGGAATACCGGAAAGGTAGAGGTTAAACAGTTCCGGAGAAATCACTCCACCCTGGGGAACTCCCTGTTTAACTCTACGGGGTTTGGACTTCTTGTTCCGGAACTCCACGTACGACTGGCGTCCACACATATAGTTGATTATCCAACGTTTCAAACTCGGCCGGAGGGAAGTGTTCTCTATGTCCTCAAACAGCGTGGCATGGTTGACAGTATCAAAGGCTTTTGATAGGTCAAGCGCTACCAACACTGTTCTATCGCACGGCCGGTTCTGGTTAAGTCCTCTACTTATATGCGTGGAAATGGCGTGCAACGCTGTTGTTGTACTGTGTTGCTTACGGAATCCATGTTGATGATCCGCAACTGGATAGCTTTCTCTAATGCTGGGGAGGAGTAACGCCTCAAGAGTCTTCGCTACTGGCGACAATAGTGAAATCGGCCTGTACGATTCACCTTTGCTGGCATCCTTGCCCGGCTTCAGTAGCGGGACCACCCTGCCCATAGTCCAGGCTTCGGGGACGACGTGGGTGGCTATCGACAAGTTGAGGACGTTGGTTAAGTACTCGACTCCTGGCTCGTCCAGCTGCTTCAGCATACACATGGATATTCCATCTGGGCCCAACGCTTTTGATGACTTCGCGTTACGGATCACACATGCAACATCACCCATTGTAAACTGTGGTGGTACCTCCTCGGCTGGAAGAGATCTTATACGACGAAGTACTCTTCTCTTCGCCTTGTCGCTCTCGGGGTGCTCGACGAACTGTCGGTTAAAATGACTTGCGCACCTCTTCGGATCAGTCACAGTTTCGTCGTTAAATGTGACTGAGGTCCTATCATCCTTCTTACCAGGGTTCGAGAGCGACTTAACCGTTGCCCACAGTTTGCTTACTCCGGTACCAATGTTGCAACTCTTCAGGTGCTCCAACCATTTATTCCGCTTGTGCTCCGCGTATAATCTGCTGACCTCCAACGTAAGTTCCCTGACCCTGGGATCTGTTGGGTTAGATCGACGGAGCTCATCACGCTCATTTGCCAGAACAACTGCTTCTGCTGGGAAATTGGGTCTCATCTCGGGTATTCGACCAGCAGGTATAAATCTAGCAGCTGCAGCAGTGATGATGCCTCGGAATTTCCTTTCTGCTACCCGTACATCAGAAGGAATGGAAAGTTCTCTGAAGCGTTGGTTGGTGAACTCTCTGAATCCTTGCCAGTTGGCTTTCCTATGGTTAAGGAAAGTGCGGCGTTCAGAGATGACGAAATCGGGCGGTCTGCTGATGGAGACGATTATGGGGAGATGGTCTGATCCAAGAGAAATGACGGGCTGCCAGCTGACGTCATTTATCAGACCCGGTGACACGATGGTTATATCTGGCGAACTGTGACACTCTCCCCTTATTCTGGTGGGGGCATCCTCATTTACCGTGCAGAACGTGGAGCTATCAATTTGCTCTGCCAGCACTGTTCCCCTCTGGTCATTACCTAGGACGGAATGCCACAACTCGTGGTGGGCATTGAAGTCCCCTAGCACCAGACGGTTATTGCCCTCCAATAGAAAACTAATGTTGGGCGAATAACGCGGTTCACAGCTATTAATCGGCGGTATATACACGTTAAGCACCTCTACCTCGGCAGTACCACATTTAACTGCTACCCCCATACATTCCATGTATGGGTCACTAGAGTCAAGCTCAAGCGAGATAGGCCTGTATTGAACAGAGTGGTGCATAAGGAATGCTAGGCCTCCACCTCCACTTCTGGTGCGATCCTTCCTCAGAACGTTGTAACCATCACAACGCTGTAGGCTACAATTTTCATTGAGCTTGGTTTCCTGCACCGCCGCGACCAAAATATTCTTCCGATTCATGAAATCCACTATCTCATCTATTTTTCCTCGAAGACCGTTGCAATTAAATTGCAGAAACGATGCACTATCAGGGGTGGGAACAGCAACGTGCGGTGTTAAGTGCTGCGTACTTGGTTGCTGTTCGGGAGACTGCGATGGAGTTCCGTACTCCGACGAAGAAGACGACGACGTAGACGAAGACTCACTGGGGATTGCGCTGTCGCAGCACGAGGCAACGTAATCCCTATCGCTGTAGTCTCGCAACCGGGCCAACCCGGAACAATTCCTGAAGTGCACCCACTCCCTGCACCCATTACATCTCACCGATACTGACCTGTGGTGAATGATGTTCTGGCAAACCGAACAGAACCACGGTCCGGGGTTTAGTTCGATCCCGGCACGGACCAAAAGAATCCGGAGCAAGCATTCCGGGATATGTTGCTCCCAAAACAGAAAAACAATACAAACATATATAACTGGGTTGGCAGCCGCTGGCCGAAATAAATCGGGTCAATCCGGTGTCGTAGAACCCGCTGCCGTGGGATTGAAAAAAATAGTTCGTTATGCTTGATGATAGAAGATCAAGAGTCTCTCTTCCAGTTCTTCGATTGACTCGCTATAGCAAACCCAAGACTCAAGTTTAGCCTTCTTGATTTCACTTGAGGATGCTGTTTTAGCTTAGAATTTATCTTCCAAGGATTCCTGTAGGTTTTCTGTTTTCCTCGAGAAGGAACATTTTTCAGATACAGTTCGTAACCTCAGAGTCTTCCATATTAGTGAGAGTTATTTCAATGACCTCACCTCTCAATCTATTTACAAACATTGCTGTACTGTCCCTATTACATATTCTAAGATTATATCTAAGTATAAAATCAAAAATGAACTCACCTCTGGGATTAGTGTCACTGCTACCCCAGTGGAAGTGATGGTCATTAGCATCACATCCAATAATTACGTCACCAATGTGACTCATTGCTCCAGTAGAAGGCGGTCAAAACCGTGTATTTGTTGTCGCTCAAATCAGTCGCCTTTGGTTTGTGGAGATACTGTTCCTGGATGAGCGCGATGTCGGTATTTAAGGAAGCAGCTGATGCTCTACATTCATGCAGATTTTCTGCACCACGTTCGTCGCGTGCTACTGTCGTTTTCTTGTTTTACTGGCGGGAGTCGGAATTGTAGTTCACCAACCCATAAAACAATTCACTCTTGTTCCTTCTCAAGTACACTGTCCTCCATCAAAGACGGTAGCGAACTTTGCGATAAGACCTCCGTTTAATTCAAATGAGGTGAGGATTCTCCACCTCGTCTTCTGAAGTCCGTCGTTTTGCTGTTATGTTATGTTACTATTATATTAATTTACGTTACTCTTCTCCACTAGCTGTGCCTTGCTGGAACTTTGGACAGAGGGAACAGCGCCCTTTGAATTATCCCAATTATTGGCCTATCGTCGTGGTGAACGCGAACTTGTTGAGAAGCATCTGCAAGGCATTGAAAATGAACGTTTACGCAATTTGCTCGCATCCATGATCGATTTAAATTCCATGTTACGTAAAAGTGCCGAAGATTATCTGGATCAGGAACGTGGACGTCTATTTCCCGAATATTTCTATTCATTCCTACAATCGTATTTACAAATGTTCTCTTCGGCACCCATAATGTCACCAGATGATAAAATAATGCGTCTACATACAGATATAAATCATTGCATAAAAGTTCTGACAACCGGTCACTGTGCCGATTTAACACCCGAAGAAGAGGAGGGGAAACACGAGAAATATGATATATCCAAAGAAATTCTGGAGGAACAAGAAACCGAAAAGAAAGATGCTGAAACATGTGCCAATATTGCCCCGGATCAGGATGGCTTGATTTTAATTATAACCGTTGTCACTTCGTGTATTCGCGGACTGAAACATTCAAATACGAAAATTGCTTCGCTGGAAATATTGCAAAAATTATCGAAATATACAACATCGGAGACAATTTTGGATCGTATACTGCCGTATATAGTAAGTAGAAAATAAGAATGGTATGCTCTTAGTTCCAATTAATTTCCCCTTTTTTAGATCCACTTGGCCCAAAACTCATCGGCTAAAGTACAAGTCCAAGCCATTGAAACACTAACAGCCTGCCTGAGTATGGTCAAAGATATTCCACGTAGCGATGCCAATGTATTTCCTGAATATATTTTACAGTCGATAACCCAGCTGGCAAATTGTGATCAAAGTGCCGTCATTGTAAGGGTAGCCTTTGCCCGCAACATTGCCAAATTGGCCAAAATCGCCATTTACTTTCTAGAGGAAACTCAGCGTAATTCACCCAATGATATGCCAACACGACGTTATGAAGCGGAGTTGAATGCTCTACATGAAATTATACGACAAACCGTTTTAAGTTTACTAACCGATCCAAAGGCCATTGTCAAACAGACCCTAATGGAATCGAATATTTGCGATTTATGTGCATTCTTTGGCAAGGAAAAAGGTGGGGTTTTAAAGAATATCCCTATTTTTATATTACTAATCGTCTTTTCTTTTTTTAATTTCAGCCAATGATGTAATTTTATCGCACATCATGACATTCTTAAATGATGAGGATAAGAATTTGCGTGGCTCATTTTATGACAACATTGCCGGTGTAGCCGGCTATGTGGGTTGGCAAGTGTCCGATATTCTGGTACCATTGTTACAACAAGGTTTTACGGATCGTGAAGAATTTGTCATAGCCAAGGCAATAAGGGCCGTAACCATCCTAATTGAATTGGGTCACATTAAAAAGCCCACCGTAACCGATATTATTCAAGAGACAGCATGTTATCTTTGTCATCCCAATTTATGGATACGTCATGAAATTTGTGGCATGATTTCTACTACAGCACGTAACCTATCGGCCATTGATGTTCAATGTAAAATAATGCCGGCAATACAAAAGTTTTTAAAAACTCCCATCATACAAGTTGAGAAACCAGATATATTATTGGATTGTATTTTGCCGCCGATACCAAGACAGGTCTATGATAGTGTTATGCGTTTTGCAGATGTTCACAAGTTTATTCATGCCCTAGAGGATAGAGCCAAAATACGCAATGAAACAAGGCCTGGTCTGCCGGTACAATATAGTGATATGGGTCAAACATTGAGTAGTGTAAGTAATTAATAGTCAGAGAGGAGAGAATTGGGAGAATTTTTAAAGGGTTTTTTCAACAATATTTTCTACATTTCCAGCTTTTCCGTCGTTTAGAATCGGATGGCCTAACAGAGCAGGTTGAAAAACAATTACTGGCAATGAAAAACTTTTTAGCTAAACTCAAATACAAATCACAACAAGATGCCGATGAACCCTCGATTTCGAGTAATGGCCGTATTAGTTTGAGACGTAAATTTATCGTATGTCATGAATTTCCATTGGGCGATCGTCATGCTCCATCGAAAATAAGTATGGAACCACGTATTAGTGATGGTATCACGCCAACATCACCAAATTCAGATACAGCAGCATCACCTGGTGGCGGTATGTCGGGATCACCGGCATCGGGTGTTATCGTGTTGGGCACCCAACCGACAACAGTTAGTACAGCAACCTCGTTGGGAGAGTATACAATGCCGGAGAGGAATTATTGGCAAGGTATGTATATGGTAGATTTAGGTAAATATAATTGAATATCAGCAAGCCTAAACAATCCACACCTTTTTGATGGGATATTTCTTGAAAAATTCTTCTTAATAAATCCACACCTTTTTGATGGGATATTTCTTGAAAAATTTTTCTTAAGAAATCCACACCTTTTTGATGAAATATTTCTTTTAAAAATCTTCTTAAAAATCCACGCCTTTTTGATGGGATATTTCTTTAAAAATTCTTCATAAAAATCCACGCCTCTTTGAAGGGATATTTCTTTAAAAATTCTTCTTAAAAAATCCACGGCATCTTGTCCCGATATTCTTTGAGAATATTTCTTAAAAAATCAAAACCTTTTCACCTGTATTTTCCTAGAAAATAATACTTAAAAATCTTCTCTCCTCAGAACGCTCATCCGAATGCCGCAAAGACTTGGAGAATTTACGCAGTAAAATGAAAACGCAATACAGTGTTTTGGCTCTATCACAGCGCAGTAATTTGGATAAATCAAATTCTCCTTATCCACATGGTTGGCGCTTAGGTGGCACCATGGTCGCCCATTTACATGAACATTCCGAATCAGTTATCAAACTAACACCGTTGAAACCCTATGGTTCTCTATTTGCCAGTGGCAGTATAGATGGTACAGTACGTCTATGGGATGCCAATAAATTAAGTGGCAATAATGGCATTAACAAATCGAGACAAGTGTATGCAGCCAATACACCAATCTACTCGTTGGCGGCTTGTGACAATGGACAATCGTTAGCTGTGGGCGGCAAGGATGGCAGTTTGTTAATTATGAGAATCGATCGAAATTCCTCGAAGATGACATTGCAACAGGCCTTGCATTTAGATCAAAAGTAAGTTGGACTCACCACCCACCCACAGAATATCGGTAATTTGGTTCTTGTTTTTTTTCCAGTGAAAATGATGGTTCCGTTGTGGATATGCATTCCTATGAGCAATGCTCACCCAGTGTCATAATTTATGCCACTCTATATGGCGGCATTGTGGCATGGGATACACGCATGCAAAAATCTGCTTGGCGTTTACAAAACGAACTACGTCATGGTGTGATAACCACCATTTGTGCTGATCCAACCGGTTCGTGGTTGGTTACCGGTACCAGTGGTGGTAAACACATCTGTTGGGATTTAAGATTTCGTTTACCAATAGCTGAAATAAAACATCCTGCGGATTCATGGATTCGAAAAGTAGCCTGTCATCCCACAGAGCCATCATGTTTAATTTCCGCTTCACAATCCAACAATGAAGTTTCCATATGGAATATTGAGACGGGTCATCGTCATACGGTTCTGTGGGCCAGTTCAGCACCGGTATTATCGTATACCAGTATGGTAGGTTAAATGTGATTGAAAGAGAGTTGTGTTGTGCTTATTTTTCTGCTTTCATTTGCGTATAGAATGATCCTGCCACCACATGTGGCATATTGAGTGGTGTTGTTGACAATTCACCATTTATTATTACTGGTAGTTCGGATCAACGTTTGCGTTTCTGGGATTTACAACAGCCAAAGAATTCTTCAATGATAATACCATCGTCCAAGGATAATTTGAATGATGTTACCTTTAATTATGAGTAAGTAATATATGTCGAATTTATATTATGTGTCCTTCTGTAGCGATCTAAATTGTTCTATATTTTTTTTTTAGCTCCCGCCTCATTGAAGGCAGTCAGGTTATTGAGGAACATATTATCTCAATGGGCAATGTTGCGGATATAAATACATTAAGAGCATCGACAGAGGAAAATCCCAGATCAGGACCTGAAATGCCATCGGCCAGTCATCATGATGCCATTACAGATTTATTAATGTGTAAAACTGATAAAGATCAAATTTATGTAGCATCAGCATCACGTGATGGCGTTATAAAATTGTGGAAGTAAATTCAATTTACTTAGAGTTTAAGATATATTTATATAGTTTCTTTGTCCTATATGTATTTTTTACTGTGATTATTTCGTTTAGCACATGATTTAACATGCATAATTATTTCCAATTAAATATAATTAATGTTATATTCAATAAAAAATAATCAATACTACAGATTTAAATTAATATTTAGGTGTCTACATTTCTTTGAAATTTTAATATATAAGCAAATTGTTGAACCCAGTGTGTAAGTGCACAATATAAATTATAAAATTATTCTTAACAAATCAAAGCATTTTTGATGTGTAATTGCTTGAAAATAAACTTTTGGAGTAGTCCATGTCATGAAGTTCACTCCTTTTTATGGGATATCTCTTTAAAATTCTTCTTGAAAAATCCACGCCTTTTTGATGTGATATTCCTTGAGAATTCTTCTTAAAAATCCACGCCTTTTTGATAAGGATATTTCTTTAAAAATTCTTTTAAAAAATCCACTCCTTTTTGAAGTAAAAAAATCCACACCTTTTTGATGGGATATTTTGGTTTTTTTTAGTGAACGAAAAGCTTTTAAAGGTTTTAGCTATTTTTAATGCACAACTCATAATGGATGGTATAAGTTGGTAAACTTCGGTCTTGTCCAGCTTAACTGCGTTTCACTTGTTGGTAGTCCAAAACCAACTAACAGAATACATATCATATTTACTGTTCGATCATAACGTCGACCACGGCCTGAACCTTCTAACCTACAAAACTGCATCTCACTCACCTGTCTTCCGACGTTTTTTTTTCAACTCGATTCGGTTGTTTTTTTAAGGGATGTACGACATACATCAAGCATAGAGTTATTTTCTGGGTAAAGTCGTTCTCCCAGCAGTATAAACATCACATTACTGTCCAAGGCAAAACAAAGCTCGTCTGGTTGAAGCTCTTGTCGGAAATAAGCAATAATAATTTCTTTATTAATTAAAAGGTTAATTCAAAATCACTATACAATTAAAAGTATATTATATCAAAATTCTTACCTTGTTAACAATTTCAGATCCGTATCCATCTGTAATTTCGTATATAACAGAGCGTGAAGATTTTTCTTTTATAAAAGTTTATTCACCCACAAACAAATTTCAATTAAACCAAAACATTTATTCAAATTCGGGATAAAATAATCAAATACGTTAACCCTACAAGTTGCTGAATAGCTTACATGTGCGTGTATGTGTTAGTGTTAAGGGTTATTTAGATTTAATAGCGCACATTCAAAAACTGCGTCAAAATAGTGGATGCTCCCTTAAAATGGATAATATAGTGTTACCAATTCTAAATTAATTTTAAATAAATAAAATATAAACTCCACATCAAATTAAAATAACAACTAAAGGCTATTTAATAATAGTTATAAAATAAAAGAAAATAAATTTTGAATGACAAAAAATTTTATGTTAGAATTAATAATAAATAATATAAAGGAGTTTGTCCCACAATAGGGCCCTATTCAATGAATATAAGACTTATAGGCCATATTTAGGATAATTGTTCAGTATTTTTTTATAGTAAAGCTAGTGAAAATATCAATATTAGATGATAATACTTCAAAATTAACACAACAGAAAATCAAAAGTTGGCATTCCTGTTTATCATGTTTACTCGCCCCAATTTCCCAAGTAAAATGTTTTCAAAATAGTAGATTCTTACAGGTTCTGGAACGGAACTAATATATCTCACAGTATATAGCAGGAGATGTTTTGGAACATATTATATGCTACAGCTCCTGGGTACTGCAGTACTATTGATTAATTACAAAATACGAACATACACAACAATTGATCTACTAATTCATAATATTTTTTCGATATCATAATGGTAAAAAATTTGTATATTTTTGCAGTTTCAGAATATGATATAATATGATTACGTCTTTAAAAAAAAATTTATACATGTGGACATATTTGCAGCTAATCGAATATACATATGAACAATTTCTATACGTTCTTGCTTATGAATAATACGTTTTCCTATCCATTTATTAATAATAATCGATTAGTTTACGATTTTGTTAAAATAGCGCGCAAATTACAAATACGTTTTTGCCACAAAATTCCATCGTCATTAATTTGCACTAATTTCAACTCTGGTCCATTGTTGTTGGTAGTTGCGGCAACCCTGTGCGCTTCAACTGCAACCAACTTCAGCAATTCAGCGGGCTTGTACGCTTGTATTCTTTGAAAGGTTGAAGGAAAGGTTGTGCCTCAACGGATCGGCGCGGCATATTTGAAAATTTGGAAAACAGAAGGAAAAAGAATAGCTAAAAGGAGAGAGAAATGTTACTTTAGACAAATAATAAATTAGAAAAGAAAAAATTGGTAAGCTAACTCCGAACGTATTCTTCTCGCCAATAAAATCGACATTGTATTGAGGCATTGTTTTGGTGTTTCTTTTATTGTCTACGATTTTGCAGATCCTTAAAACAATGCAGTTCAGATAATATTACGTGAAAACACACAACAAAAAACTTGAAACCAAAAGACTTCTGTCACAAAATTGAAATAAATTCAAAGCCGCCAAAAGTATTACAAAAACAAAGCCAGCCAACAACAAGAAAAATATTCGCAAATCAAAAGTGTTTGGCAAAAGAAGAAAGAAATTGTTTCGGTGCTAAAAGGTTCTCTCCTTGTCTGTCAACGGGAACAAATCGTCGTCGACGAGAAGAAGAAGAAGAGGACAACTTTAAAAGCCGAGAAAACAGTTTAAAAAATGGCGCCCACAAAGAGTACCCGTGCAGTTTCCAAGCAATCTGTGGCCACCACCACTCTAACAAACCTCATGCCTCTGGCTCGCAAAGGCCTAACCCGACGCAATGCCACCAATGTTCAGGATCAGAATTCCGATATTATGCAAACACGCGGCAAACGCAAGGCAGAGCACAGCCCCCAAAAGAATGAAAAGATAAAAAGGTCCGCTTTGGGAAACCTCACGAACAATGTGAATAACAACAACCAATTGACGAATATACATCAAGATGATGATGCCAAACACAATATTGTCAAGAAGAAGGATTTGGTACAAAATCTGTTAGCGGCTGGAGGACAACAAGAGAACACTTTGCAAATTCTTAAGGAAACACAGAATCTATTGCTGCAACAGGCTCAGGGAGCTCTGCAGAAACAACAGCAACCGGTTAAAATATTAACAAGGGCCTCCAGCCGGAATGCTACTAAAGATGCACAAAAAGAAAATTTGCAACAGCAACAATCGAACATAACCTCAAAAATATTCGAGGACGAAGAGAAGAAACTATTAACGTCTGTGAAAACCAAGCTAAAGAATGATGTGCCAGCAGCACCAGTGGCCTCATTGCAGCCACACCAGGTTCAAAAGACCGCCAACAAGCCAGTTCGGCGCATTTCCAATGAATTTAATAAGACTGAAGAATCACTGTATATGTCTGCCTTGGAGGACATTTCCGTTTCGGATTCTATGCGTTTATCGGGTAACTTCGAAGCTGCCAAACGTCGTTCAATTCTGTTGCAACAGCAACAACAAGAACAAAATAAGACTGAATCAATAACAGTGGCCAAAGAAACATCTGTTCACCAAGTCCCCGAGGGGGTGGAAGACTTCGATAAACTAAACTGGAACGATCCCTTCCAGGTCTCCCACTATGCCATGGACATTTTCAATTATCTCAAAGAACGCGAAGCTCAATTCCCCGTTGACGATTACATGGAGCGACAAATACATTTGTCCAAGTGGATGCGTTCGTTGTTGGTCGATTGGATGGTTGAGGTACAGGAAACCTTTGAACTCAATCACGAAACCCTCTACTTGGCCGTGAAAATTGTTGATCAATTTTTGTGCAGAGAAGTGATAAACAAGGATAAGCTACAGCTGTTGGGTGCTGCTGCACTATTCATTGCTTGCAAATTCGACGAACGTACACCACCATTGATCGAAGACTTTTTGTATATCTGTGATGGTGCGTACAAACACGACGAACTGATACAAATGGAAATGGCCACCCTTAAAGTGATACAATTCGATTTGGGCATTCCATTGTCATATCGTTTTCTGCGTCGTTATGCCCGTTGTGCCAAAGTACCAATGCCCACCTTGACATTGGCCCGTTATATTCTTGAGTTGTCGCTAATGGATTACGATTGTATAACATTTAGTGATTCGAAAATGGCATGTGCCGCCCTCTTTATGGCTTTACGTCTGCATGGTGATGCCCAGCCATGGACATCGACATTGATCTATTATACCGGTTATAAATTGGCCGATTTTGCTGACATTGTGCCGATCTTAAATGCTGGACTGCATCGCAAGCCGAAGGGCACCATTAAAACTATACGTAGTAAATATTCGCATAAGATATTCCACGAAGTAGCTAAAGTTGCACTGATGACCACAGAGAAATTGTTTGAAAATCAATTAGATTTTAACTTTAATTTAATGTCAAGCCAAATAACAGCAAATGAACAGCAGCAGCAAACGCAAAAAAGTACAAAAACAAAATCACAGCAAGGTAGTGGTGGCAGTGGCGGCGGTGGAGGAGTTGACAAACAACAGCAGCAGCAACAACAATAAATTATTGGACAAAAAAGAAGAAAATTCGGTTTCCTTTTTTAGCGTAATATTAAGAAGTTAGTTACAATCAGCATCATAAGAGTTACCTAGTTACAACAACACAACATATAGGCACAGAGCAAAACAAACATTACCGATGGATGCAAGATATGGCGGAGAAGAGAAGTAGCATGAAATTTATATAAGGTAAGATTTAATTTTCTTTGTGTTTTTCCTATTTTATTATTTGGGCGTCGATTTTTTGAAATTAGACAGTTGCATTAAAATTAGTTACCGGGGATTTAAGTGATTGATTCGAAACAGATGCAGTGGTGGGAAAGATACAGCCTCTGGTATTTGTAAATTAAACATAGCATATAGGAAAAATAGGATATTATATTTAATTGTAAGTTGTATAACCAATAATCAAATCTAAATTTGATCTAATTAATTTCACTTTAATGGTAAATGCATCCCACCAGTCCGATACTTGTCTTAGGTTGTACTAGGAAATGTCAATTAAAAACGTGACAAGAGAAATTAAGAATCACGCCTCATGGAGAGAAGCGAATATTTATGAAGACCCACACATTCTTTTGCAATACTTGTGAGTCAATATTTGATTTGTTTGCTAGAAATGTTTCTTGACTCATTTTGGAATCGGCCGTATACACCTTGATATTGTATCCCATCCGCAGTCCATTGTGATTATATAAAGTATTATATAAGTTTCCCTAATGGGTAGTATCTCTGCTGAATCACAGACAGATTTACAAAAGTTGAAATGTTCCATTCCTCTGTGATGCCATACATCTCCGTTTGGAACGATCCTTATACACCATTGTTTTGTATACCACAAAAGTTATCTATTCTTCCAGTAAGTTCATTTTTAAAACAAGACCTGAAATATCTGTGCTCGATGATTATTGGGGTTCGATGGTAATTATAAATCTACGTATTGACATAGTCTGTTTGAACCCCAGTTGTTTTTTATATTTTTAAATAATTTCGATCACAATGAATATATCGAAATTCAAATAATATCTACTATAATATATTTAATATACAATTTTATTTTTTAAAAGTCATCCTTGATAACTAACAAAAGTTTAATTAATGCCCTTTTCTACTTCTTTTTCAGTTTGACTGTGCTGCATATATCTATAGTATTTTTTGTAAAAGAAATTCCTCTACATGCCACATTTTTAGAGCAGACAGCAGAGTATACTTAACTTTATTTCCCCTAATCTAACATTTCCCCCTCTATATAATTTATTGTTTATTTTGTTAAACAATTTTATTTTTATTATAAACTATCAAAACGTGTTTTTTCTCTCTAATCTTTTTTTATCGATCTATATAAATATACATATATATGTTTTCGTTTTTTCAGTGTTTTTTCCCATGTCTGTCATTTGTTCTTCATTGTTGCTAAATCTTTAGAAATTCTATTCTATTACAAAAAAGAAATTAATTATAAATTGACAACAAAACCTTTTTTTATCTAACAACCTATAACATGAAAGCCACCAAAAAAACAAGAAGAAGAAACAATCTCAACCAAGTACAATATATATAACTACATACATACTACGCTTCTATTAAGTTAATACATTTTTTAAATATATACATATATGTAAAAGTGTGTGTCTTATCTTTCTACAAAATGTTAACATTTTGATTTGATCAAGAATTGAAAAAAAAACAAAGATGTCAGGACAAAGAGAAATTATTAAAAGGAAAAAAAAAATATTTTAAAAATGTTAGCAAAAAACACAGCATGTATTACTGTAATCAGGTTTATACTCTTTTTCCAACATTGTCATAATTATCTTTACCATTTATCTATTTTTTTTTTTTTTTTTGAGAGAGAGAAACAACGATATTCACCACTCTATTTAAACAACAAGCAATTTGCTAAAATACTTATACATTTTTTTATAATAACTTTATTAATTGTTAAGTAACATTTATCACTTTATTATAATTATTATTAGTTTTATTATTATATACCATTATTCATACATACAACAACAACTAAACACAAACATATATATTAACTATACATTAAACTATTGAGCTATATAAGAACAACAAACACAAAAATTACAATTTTCTTTTAATAAATTACCAATTCTTGCATTTTACTACACAAAAAATATATATTCTAGTGTTAACTTATGTGCCCTGCCCCGCTACTTACATTTTTTTATGAATACTACAGCCACATTTGTTTTAGTGCAAATGTTGATTATTTGGCTAGTTGGTATGATGATGTGTGATTCAATCATTCTATATATGGAACTGTGTGGACTTACTCGCCCTCTGGACCCATGATAAAGTTGTTAAACAATTTGTCTTGTTAACTAATTTTTGTCATTTCTTTTTTTATTTCTTTCTTTGTTTACTAGGTTTTCAATAAGTTTTTCCTTTTTTTGATTTTTCAATATTATAAATTAAATTAATTGCCTTATATTAGTAATAATTAATTTTGACTTTATTTTTTTCGTATTGATTAAGTTTTTCTTTGTCATTATAATATAATTCCTAGTTGTATATGTTTTTCTTTTTCATTGTTTTGTATTTTTGTTATGTATTTTTTGCCATGTTGGTTGTATAAATTAAACAAAACAACAAATCATTTTTTTTGTATATGTAGTTAAGTTATTTCTTTATTTTTTGGTTAATAAATACGTTTTTTATTTATGAATTTGTTGGTCTTTTATTTTTTATATATTTTTTGTTTTTATTTTTAATTTCTTCTTAAGTATTTGTTAACCAATTGTTAAGAAAATAACTTAACTACCAGGCCATACAAGGACAACCTGTAGTACATGTTATTTTTTCCTATGTAAGTACGTACTATAGGGGTTCGTATACCAGTTTAATTCAAGAAGTATTCGGTTTTTATTTTGTCCACTTTAATAGAATCTTCCCATAATGAACTTTGTCAACATTTTCCAAAGCTCAATTTTGTTGACCACATCCGCTTTTGGTGTTCTGTTCACCGCCTCAATTGTAGCGTTATATTATTTGGGCAATTTCAGATCTGGACCAAAAAAAGACTAAGTATTGATAGGGTCTTACATCGACTTAAAATAAATTAGAAATCTTCACATCTGGATAGAAAAGGTTCAGCATAAATCCATGTTATTGCATATCCCGCATATTAATGTCCCGCCATTTTTATACCCTCAGCCTTATGGCAAATGATACGCCAAAAATGTGCCTCATCGAAATATTGGTTTTAGTCCCCATGTTTATTTGGACAAAATCCGCTCCAGACAATTTGAAGTCGATTTAAAAAATTTCGTCCGTCTGTCTAGCCGGCTGCTGCACACGATAACTCTCGAAGGGAATGAATGAGGATACCTTTTTGAGCTGGGTTAGAATAAATGGTACACCTCATGGTTCATTCGACTCTCCAATAGCTACTGCTTGTGGAACTACCCTTGTGCCAGTTAAAGTTATCCTGCATATCCGTATTAATTTAGCACGAAAGCCGAACGCAGACATGGCTTTAAACACCTCAGAGAGGATTGGACTTTCGAATGCGGTTTTATAGTCGACGAAAAGGTGGAATGTGTCGATGTGTATTTTGTGGGTCGTTTCCAGGTTTTGGCGCAGTGTGAAAATGTGGTCAATGGTGGATTTTCCAGGTTTGAAGCTGCATTGGTATAGTCCAATAATCTATATCGTCATCTCTTACTGGATCTGGGGTATCTTCTTCACCGCCACTATTTGATACCCGAAGCTTTGCAAAATGCTCCTTCCTGATCCTCAGCTCGCTGTCTGTATCTGTGACCAGGGTTACCTCTTAATCTCTGCACCACGACCATCGGTTTGGTGTTTTACTTCATTCTGACTTTTGTATCGATCCACTTCATCTAGTAACTACCGTACAAAGGGTCAACGTTTTGAAAAATAGAACATCTCACATAAGGCGAACCGAACATCCAATTTCATCGATTTCATCACGTAATATTTTTACCGTACTTAGATTATGTCCGAAGATGGAACCCTTCGGTCCACTCCTTCTAGTAACTCCCGCACAAAATGTCTACATTATGAACATTTCTTTATTCTTTACATGAACCTCTATAGAGCTCCTCCTTACCTATAATTACCTCTGCAGTACAATAAGTAATTCTAGAGAGATCATATTTATATATACGGACATATATATACGACCTATAAGAGTTCCTCGAGAGTTGTACATAACGCTATTATTCCTTACCCACCACTTATCTACAAGGAAGCTACAAATTTACGTTGAAATTCATTTCCTAGAACATAATTTTTGAAATTATTTTTAAAAAATCATTAATTACGCTTCATTTAACACCCGAATAAATAAAAAGCAAACCTTATCTTGGTTTCTTTTTTACAAAATATATAAATTCTGGTATTTTTCATTTATTGTGATTCAAAGTAATTTGACAATTTGTGAATACTACCGCAATGAAATTTAAAAGCATCGAAGTGTTGTGGTTTTTATTAGCAGTGGTGGCCACCAATGTTATGGCTGCTCCCACAGTTGATATTTTAACCGATACCGTTGGTGGCTTAACTGGTGGTCTACTTGGAACATTGGATGCCCTCTTGGGTGGAGGATCTCGCCGACAGCCTGAACAGCATATACACATTTATGTGGATCAACAGCAGCAACAACAGCCATATGGTATGACAACATATTACCTACATCCTGGTCAGCAAACAGTGGTTGGGCCACAAGTACCATCATCTTTGGCACCACTGCCGAAATTTATACCCACCACGGCACCTGTGCATACCTATAATATTCCGCCACAACGTTTAAAACCTTTACCACCCAATGTTGTACAAGTTAATAAATAAACGATTTAAAAATGTAACTTTATGAAAAAAGAGAGATCAAAAATAATTGTAAAAAAATAACAAGAAAATGCTTAAATTAAAGTTTTTTTCCTCAAATTGTGTCCTATTCATAATATCGAATGATGGCATAGTGCCTTATGGTTGAATTATTTAATGTTAAATAAATTATAATAAGGTCATATATCTAGTGCTGTTTCTCCACTGGAAATATTAGGAGTCAGATCCTTTGCAGCTGTTTTTTTTTCCGAGCTAGTTACTAAAAGTTTTTGCAATAGAACCAATTTTTGTTTTTCTCCTCTTCACAGTTTCCGTGAGAGGAAAACCTGTGGAATAAAGTCTGAAGGAATTTTTATACCCTCAGCCATTTATTTTATAATAGCTGGCGAACGGACAATCAAAATTCAAAAACAAGGCCACCTCTCGCCATACCAAACTCACACTCGACAAGATACTGATACTACCCGTGCTGTTGTATTGGTCTGAAGCATGGGTATTTGCACAAGCAGATGAGACAGCTCTTGGCGGGTTTGAGAGAAAATTTCTCCGAAATATCAATAGACCGATCTGCGTCGATGGTAAATATCGTCGTCGAATAAACCATAAGTTGTACCATCTATTCTCGGACATCGAAAGATCAAGTGAGAGACAACATTTCGGAACAAATGTTCTGTCACTAGCCAGCTAAGTAAGAGGGTAACACTTTGATTACTGTAGGATGGCATATCCATCATCGGTCGTGGAAGAATTTTTGAATATACAATATTTTATTTATTTCCTTTGCATTATAATTAATGAGGTCATTTTAATGTTCCTTACAAAGATTCCATCTTAATTCTTTAGATGAAGGCTTCCAATCTTTCTTTTCCTTTTCCCGTTCCCTTGGCAGTGGGGTCTACGATCCGAAAAGACCCGAGTCTAACTCGACCAATGACTGTCACCTGAACCAATTATTGTTAGATGGGGAGCTGACCTGGATCTCGTCTTTTTTTATTCTGCGGACCTAGATTTTCGACACTTTAAACCTCAAACCTATGGTCTGTGCAAATGGAACTGCCATATCCTTTATCATCCCCCTTTCCATAGTAATATCTACTGTCTTCATAATTTCTGTTGTTTTGAAAACATCAATATAATCCTCTTTTGTGACAAATAATTTAATTAAATATCCAATTTGTTTTCTTGTTATTCCGAAAAGCTCGAATATTATCCTCTATCGTGGCAAATATTTTAATTGATTATACAAATATGGTAATAAGCAATTTGACATATTTTAGATTTTATTGGAAATGATAAGAATGTTTTTTTTCTGAGTGTACAAAAAAAGCATTTGAGGCATTTGTTGTTGTTATGGAGGTAATGACCTCTACGTTGATTTGAATTTGTCAAACAAAAAATGAGAAGGTTCTCATCTGCCATAAACGAAAACTGTGTGTATGTATCTGCATTTATTTGGGATTCTGTCTTTGTGTGTGTATTGAAATATCCTTGATCCTTTTGCAGGTTTGCCTTTGAAACAAAATACACCAACAAATTCACGGGAGATGTTTTATTTTCTTCAAGAAGCAACATGCAACCGATTTGACGAGGCAGGAAAGAAACAATACCAGGTAGATTTGTCATTAGGTGGTGGTGGTGTGCATATGGCATTTCAACAATACTAAAAATGTTGTTGTTGTTTTTGTAACATCAGAAACATCCGTAAAAAAGGTACAATGATCAGCGCGGCATGTGTACAAATATTTGAAATGCATGGTAGGAAATAAATTCACTATTGAGGAACTTGGCGCTTTTTTTCTCTCAAAATGTTGAATATGTCTTATAATCGGCATCTTTTTAGGTAGATGCGAGATTTTTTTTCTTAAGAAGAATCCTTTCTTATAAATAAAATTACAACTCAAAATACCAAACTTAATAAATAAATTATTATTTTGTACTATTTGATATAATTGAGAATTCTTAATTATATATATAATTATAATAAAGCTGTTGCCACCAGAATATTCTGATCGATCTTGATCAATAGACTTAATTCTTATTTTTCCAAAAACTAATGGATAATTAATTAATTAAAAAAGATTTCCAGGCACGTTGATCTTGTGCGGAGCTCTTCCAATTTGAGAGACCATCGTTTTCGTCTTGATATTTCCATCGAATTCGTGTCCTTCAATATGCCTTTTGCGCTGGGGCATCCATTCGCACTTTATGATCTAGCCACTTGGCGCTTTTTTTCTCTCAAAATGTTGAAGATGTCTTATAATCGGCATCTTTTTAGGTAGATGCGAGATTTTTTTCTTAAGAAGAATCCTTTCTTCTAAATAAAATTACAACTCAAAATACAAAACTTAATAAATAAATTATTATTTTGTACTATTTGATATAATTGAGAATTCTTAATTATATATAATTATAATGAAGCTGTTGCCACCAGAATATTCTGATCGATCTTGATCAATAGACTTAATTCTTATTTTTCCAAAAACTAATGGATAATTAATTAATTAAAAAAGATTTCCAGGCACGTTGATCTTGTGCGGAGCTCTTCCAATTTGAGAGACCATCGTTTTCGTCTTGATATTTCCATCGAATTCGTGTCCTTCAATATGCCTTTTGCGCTGGGACATCCATTCGCACAGTATGATCTAGCCACTGTAGTCGCTACAGCTCGATACGACTGACTATGTCCGTGTATATATTGTAAAGCTTGTGGTTCATTCGACGCCAATATAAATCTGTCGGAGAAAGTATCTCTCAAACACACTCTAAGAGCTACCTCATCTGCTTGCGCAAGTACCCACGCACGGGTAGTACAGTAGTTTTCGTTAGTCCACAACTATAGTTGCACAATTTTTGTGGACTATAAGCCAATTAGGACTATATCCGAAATTTGTTTTAAGCCCTTTAATGAACTATAACTAAATCCCGATATAATATACGTCAAGGACTATACACAACGTATGTGTTTCTTTAATTAAAATTAAAGTTTATTAAAAACAGTCTGATGGCCTTTTCTTTGGCGCAATGTTAGTAGATTATACGAATTAGAAGCTTTTTTGATTTTAGAACTATTTTTTAGAGAGGTGGCCTTTGCTTATTTAGACCATAGTATCATCTGTTGGCAAACACTATCCTTCTCCGAATTTCAAAACTATGTCATTACTTTTATTTATGACGGCACCGAGGTATAACCTCGAAGTTGTAGTTTTCAAGTTCCAAAGTTGCTCTGAATCAGCTTATTCCTCTCGCCATTTACTGCCAGGCCCACTTGGGCTGACTCATTCTCAGTTTGATCAAATGTTACCGCTCGTAATGTTCGACCCATTATGTCGATGTAATCGGTGTAGACGAGTAACATATGCTGGTCATTTCTGTTCACATTTGCTTATCGTATGACCTTTTATAGCAGAATATTAAAGAGATCACACAATAAATTGTTACCTTGTCTGAACCGTCATTCGATATTGAAGGGTTCCGAGAGGTCCTTTCCGACTTTAAATGCTGGCTGTTAAAATTATCTTGCATAACCAGCCGGTGCATGCTCCTGACCAGCATCTAACCTCCGGTCTTGAATAGTTCGGGTGGTAACCCTTCGGGAACTGCTGGAGTATTATTTTTCAAACGGTTGATTGCTATTCTGACCTCATCTCTATACCGTCATCTCTTATTGGTTCTGGGGTATCTTCTTCTCCGCCACTATTTGATACCAGAAGCTTTGCAAAATTATCCTTCCAGATACTCAACACGCTGTCTATATCTGTCACCAGCTGCGACCCTATTATACTTGACCCTATTATCCTATATATACTGCGACCCTATTATCCTTGTGTGTCTTTTTCGTCCTTAATTTAATTATCCGGACTCCATACTCGTAATATTTTACAAAAATTATTTTATAAAAATCATATATATTTATGTCAAATACGCCAAAAAATATTTTCGAGGAACAAAGAACCGGTTTTCTAAACTTTTGAGTCGGATATTCGGAGAATAAAACCGATTTCAATACATTATATGCATATCATTAGAAAGCTATTAAACAAATGTTCTAAATTTATTGAGATTTCTTCAGAAAAAACGGTGAAAAGTAACGGAACGAATAGGACGCGCAAATTTTTTAAAGAATCCAAATACCATAGGAAAATTTAATTTTTGCAAATTCTTCGGTTTTCTTATAATCCAAAACATCTATTTAAACATGGTTTGGCCCAAGGCCAATGAAATAACCCTTGAAGATGGGTATAAATACCCACTTCCAAGAATTAAAAAATACATAACCTATTTGCCGGAATATGTTGCTCTTTTGCAGGGATATCCAAATGGAAAAAGTATCCCAACAATGAAAATTGCAGACGAACTTCATTCAAAGTTTGATAATTTGGAGACGCACTTCGTTACAAAACGAAAAATAAAAATTATATGTAACGACCGCGACACCATAAACAAAATAGTTGCTGATGAAGATCTCCGCAAGAGATACTCCGTGTTCATACCAAGTGAACTCTGCGAAACAAAAGCTGTGGTGCAAATCCCATTTGACACAGAATTCACTGAAGAATTTCTATACGAAAACTTAATTATAAAGCATAAAGCGGAATATGGACCCATATATGACAACATTACCATAAATGAAGTCAAACGCTTTACCAAACCTGACTTGGATGACAAAGATAAAAGAATCAATTCCGATGCTGTCCTTCTGACCTTCAGTGGGGATAAACTGCCTTCACACGTATGTATAAATAAGGTATTTTTCTTGGTAAAACCGTTCATAGAACGGATTCTTCAGTGTAAAAAATGCTGGAAGTTTGGACACTCAACCAGAGTTTGCAGCCGCTCCCGACAAGTTTGCCCGCGCTGTGGCTCGGCTCATGAGGGTACTTGTTTAACTATACCAAAGTGCATCAACTGTGACAAACCACATGATGCCAGGTCGAACCAGTGTGAACTGCGTACAATGCTTAGGAATAAAGCCAAAAAAGAAGCTGAGGAAAAAACGCCAAAGATCATACACAGTTACAATAATTTAATCAACAAGCCTCCTCTGCGGGATCTTTTTAATTTATCACAAGAAGACTTCCCGGAAATCAACGCAAAGAGGCCAAAATTAAGACCAAAATCTAAAATCAACATAAAAAGGAAGAAAAATCCTGTTTCCGACTCATTTACTGAAAATATTGATGAGAATTCTCATCAAGAAAACATTCAACAAACCCCTTCCAGCGCTGAAGTTTTGTCAGCAGCCATTGATTTAACTGAAGCCGTTACAAATTTCGACATTCAATCACCCAATGCTTTGGATACTCCGTCCATGGATCTCAGTCCAAAATCTTTGATCAATTCCAAAAGCATTGAAACCAACCAAAATAACTCTCAACCAGAATATGCTGAAAGCAAAAATGACACTACAAAACTCAATCAACCTATAACTAACACATTGAAAAATATCATCCGAACATCCACAATATCCGATAACGTGATCCGCACACCCTTATATCTTTTTGAATCATTTCAAAAAGAAAAAATGAATGTTCTTGATCATGATGAAGGTCCTACAGATTAACTTGAGAAGCATCAGAAATAAAAAAACACAGCTATGCCAATTCCTGAAAGAATCGGGGATTGACATAGCATGCATATCGGAAACCTATTTGGATACTACGGATCATTTTTCTATACCTAATTATGACATTTTAAGAAAAGATAGATTATCATATGGTGGCGGCGTTGCCATCCTTATAAAGAATACTATAAAATACACCAGCTTTGACATTCAAATTATCAACCGTAATATAGAAATAATTGCGTGCTGTATAAATAACGATTCCGGCCCTACAATTATAATATCTACATATATTCCACCCAACGTGACATTCAACACCGCTGACTTAATGAGTATTACCACACGCATTCCACAAAATGCTAAAATAATAATCTGCGGTGACTTTAACTGCCATCACCAAATATGGGGCTGTAGTAACACAGATATTCGTGGAGAAAATATGCTTCAATTTATAGAAGATAACGATCTTGTCCTTCTAAATGACGGCTCGTCAACCTATTTTGGTAGCAGCTTTCCTTCTGCGTTGGACTTATCTATATGTAGCCCTTCCATTGCTCTTATAACAACGTGGTCCACTTTAAATGAGTGTCTTGGTTCAGACCATTGCGCTATAATTATGGAGATTGACTTATATACAACATATTGTAAAAATAGCTACGGTATACCAAAAAACATAGCTCAAGATCGAATTAACGAGTGCATAATTCAAATACTTAACGACGACCAATATTTACAATGCCCGGAGTCATCAAAATTTGAACTTCTTTCTCAAAAATTTTATGAAATATTCAAAGCACCTGTTGGCAAAAAAGAGTATCCGGATAACAGTTGGTGGAGCTTGAAATGCAAAAAGGTAAGAGCAACTCTTATTAAAGCGCTAGCTCGATACAAAAAAACACCAAACAGGATCAACAACGAAAAATTAAAAATATGCCAAAAAGAGTATTTCTATACTCTCAGAGAAGAAAAACGGAAAGGATGGCAAGAAATGTGCGAAGGTATTAGTGCTGACATATCTTCCACAGAACTTTGGAATATTGTCAAAAAATTTAGAGGCAGACATGCAACCAAAAGCAAATATATGCCAGAAATGTGCGCAGATAAATTCTGCGACATAATTTCTGGCCCAATCGGTCCTATCAACGTACCACCTACTCTGAGCAACATTTCAAATGACACTGATTTTACTATGGATGAATTGAACGCGGCAATTAACACTTCAAAGGACACAACTGCAGGTATTGATGGCATTCGACACGGTCATATGAAAGGATTTAATAACGAGGTAAGAGGAAAACTTTTATCATTATATAACCATATATGGAGATCCGGAGACATTCCGACCTCATGGTTAAAATACAAAATATGCCCTATTCATAAAAAAGGCAAACCGCCTGATGACCCTCACTCATACCGATCAATCGCTATAATATCATGTTGGCGTAAAATATTTGAGAGAATGATATTTTTCCGAATTGACCACCAACTTGAATCATGTGATAAATTACACAACGCACAGTCTGGATTTCGAAAGAATAGATCAACTAGAGACAATGTTACGAGCATATGGTCTGCGGTACAGCTAGCAAAAAGAGAAGGTAAATTTCTCTTGGCAACATTCCTCGACATCAAAGGAGCATTTGATAATGTAAACATTGATATACTAATACAAAAATATAAAGAACTTGGAGTAAGTGATCATACTTCCTCGATTGTACATCTTCTTTTTCAATACAAGGAACTCATTATCGACACAGATACTGGTACATCTCGAAGGTCTTTTACGGGAACTCCTCAAGGTTCTGTTATGAGCCCACTGAGTTTCAACATATACATCAATGATGTATTCAAAGACCTGGATGTAGACATTTTAGGATATGCAGATGACTTGGTTGTATTTTGCGCTGAAAGAGACCTTAATGTGGCAAAAAGAAAGATGCAGCACGCACTTAACTGCATAGTTAACAAATTGGACGATATACAATTGGAACTGTCCCCACAGAAATCGAAAGGCATGCTCTTCAATCCATCCACCCGAAATTCCATTCAAAACCACCCTGATTTATACATTAACAGCGAACGTATCGAATTTGTAAGCACATTTATTTTTTTGGGTTTCACGCTGGACTCAAAGTTAAGTCTAGCACCACATATTGATTACATACACAAAACAACATTTCAATTTATGAATATTATCCGGGCCCTTTGTGGGGTATCCTGGGGAGGCAACCCACATCAACTCATCCGTCTATACATTGGCGTAGTAAGACCCAAAATAGAGTATATGGGACATTTACTGCTTGATGTACCGCTAAACAAACTGCTTAAAATTCAACGGATACAATTTCGAGCGCTGAGAGCTGCCCTCGGAGCAATGATCTCCACGCATACGCAATCTCTAGAAGTGGAAGCCAATGTAATGCCCCTGCCGGAAAGATTCAGATTGCTTGCCAATAATTATATAAACAATATGATTACCGACTGCAGAAACCCTGCCAATAAATATATTTTGGAATATAATGAGAAATTTCATGCTAGACCCTCGCTTTTCCAACTATACCAGGACAAAAGAACGCAACACAATCTCATCAGACTCCCCCGACCTGTTCAATACACATTTTCTCTTCAAGCCAACCTACTAGTTCCAAATGTAACTTACCTCAATGTTTGTAAAAGTCGCACAACAGCAGCGGACGCTACCAATGAATTCAATATTACTGTGGAAACTGAATTTAGCAATTATACAAAAGTATTTACAGACGGTTCTAAAACTTCCGAGAAAACTAGCTGCGCCCTTTGGTTGCCATCGTTAGACATTGAAGCATCCTTCTCTCTGGATCAAGAAAGTTCTATATTTACCGCTGAAGCACATGCAATCTTAGAAGCACTACTCCTGATCAGAACATGTGGCTCTGATAAATACCTTATAATCACAGATAGTAAATCAGTCCTTCAGGCCATTCAATCTCAAAACAGCAAAAACACCCATCCTTCTATTTATCGAATAAAAAATGAGGTGTATCTTATGTCCAGAGAGGCCTTTACAATACACTTTCTCTGGGTGCCAAGTCATTGTGGCATCGAGGGAAATGAGTATGTGGACTCCATTGCCACCAGCCATATCCCCGTCGATTCATATCCGGCACTATTTCCATCAGACATAAAACAAAAAGACAGATCCACAGCTCTTGCATCATGGCAACAAAAATGGAACACCAGCATCTTTGGCAGAAGATTTTACTCTTTCTCGCCTAAAGTTAACTGTCAGCCCTGGTTCCGGTACGTTAAAATACCCCGGAGTGTTGCAACAACCATCACAAGACTCAGATTTGGCCATAACCAAACAAAACATCACCTCCATAAAATAAATATCTCCAGCTCCGACAGATGTGACTGCGGCGACGTCCAAACTATGGATCATATTACGTTCAAATGCCCGAATATCAACATCAACACACGTCTTTTCCTATTGCAAAAACTACAAAATCTTGACATACACCAAACATCAATCGACATCATATTAAAATCGAACAACGTCAAAGCTTACTTCGCTTTATGGAAATATTACAAAGATGCAGACATCAAAATCTAAAAATTATAAAAAAAAAATAATTCATAACTACAATTTTACCCGTGAAAAAGACCAAATTTACAATATTCACAAACAAATATACATCAATACCCGTGAAAGTGGCAATATAGACCTAGTGTCTCGTGTCACTTTATAATTCCTCCCCTAATTATGGTGGAATTGACATATGGCAACGTATGTCTGAAGAAGAAGAGATTTCTTCAGGAATTTTCCTTACATCATGTTGCTTATTTTCATTGTGAATCGATGTATAAAGATTTGATTTGTATGTATGTACATGTGCTCATAAATGTCAATCTGTAGCATTGATTGCATTAAGAAAAACAACAACAATAAATTATCTTTGCACCATTTTGTTTATTACGGTAATTACCCGTTATTGTCGTTAAAAGAAAGTGAAAATGCAACAAACATTTTTTCACCAAAAGCAATGTTGTTGTTATTGCAACATATTACCGACAAAATACCACGATTCTTTGCGCATATGCACCAACAAAAAATTGGTAACAAACAATGCCTGTTAAAAACGTTGAAGTAAAACAAAAGATTTTGGAATTTCTAGGTTGCGCACACGACAAATGTGTTCGAATTCTTAACAATAGTACATTGATTTGTTTTATTTTGTTCATTCTAAGTATGTATGTAAGAGACAATTTTCAGCTGTTCGTCTTTTTGTTTGTTCGGATTTTTTTCGTAATAAACTCGTGCTATTGTCTTTATTATTATTGTTGCTGTTTTTTAGAGCAGATGTTTTGCCAATTAATTATTCACATAAGCAGATTTGTATGACCGCTGATTAGCGCCCAAAATAATCTCGGCTTATTTTTGGCATAATTTTGTTTGGGAATTCCCAAAAAGTGCTGTTTAACACCATGGCTTTATCAACTTTGCGGATATATGGAACACGTCTTAAAATTAATTAAAAACAAATTATACCGACACAAACACACCGTGTATCTAAAATGCAAGGATTTCAAGAAATCCTAATTCTTTTTAGGCTACCTCAAAAAGTCGATGCGTTATTTTTAATCCGTTTTTTAATATTTTTTTTTTATTTTCTGGGTAATTATAAAAAAAAAATGATATTTGCTGCATAGTGTTTTTATTTTTTAATTTGTTTTATTTACACTTAACATTTAACGTTATGACACTTATATTTATATTTAACTTGTTAATTATAATTTTATTTTTTTTAATTAAAATAAAACTTCAACTTGTTTCTTTGGATCAGTCTCTTCACCCGGATCGCTAGGAGCCCATTTTGGTGGTGCGGGTGTCTGCGGTACATATCCAACTGTTGGTCGCACCGGAACACCATTATTATTGGTCCATTGATAATTCGGATAATAATAGACAGGATATTGTTGACCGGGTTGTTGATAGATCGTTGGATAATAGTAAGTGGTTT